CGCGAAGGAAACTAAGATTGAGCAGTTGGGATGACTGAAAGTCCATCAAGGGGAGTAAGCTCCTCGCCAGTGGCCGCGTCTTTCGCCACAGTAGCAGGCTCCATTTCCTGAGTTTCCGCTTCTGGATCATCCTCGAGTAGAAGCTGATTCTTCTCTTGTTCCTCCGTACTCATTTGAGTCTCATACTGATCAAAGGGAGCTACGCTCTCAACTCGAGGAGGATTTACGGAGACAACCACGACCTCTCCCTGAGGAGGGTTTGAAGACAGCCACTAAGGAGGGGTCATCCTCGGTGACTTCCTCAACATCCAGAGCTTCAAAATCCAACTCAAACTTTTTAAAATTCTCGTCGAGCTCCTTGAACCGGTCATCTGGGACATCGGTTCCCCCCCTTCATAAAACCAGCAAGGTATTCCTTGATATCGATCACTTGGTTCAACAAGGCACTAAGTTTGTTCGCCTCCTCGTTGTCAGAGATCGACTTCTTGATCTTCTGAAGCTTAGCATCGCTTTTCGAGATGATCTGATTAACCTCATGCCTACGAGAAGACCGAAGACGAGCCATCTCCTGCTCGTGAAAAAATTGCAGAGACTCTTTTTCTGCCCTCATTTTCTCGAGCTCCTCCTCGGCGTATTTTGCCATCTCCCTTGTTTCCTCAACCTTTTTGGATAGATCATTCATTGCGCTGATCTGCACTGCGACCTTCTTCTCAAGACCGGGAACCTTCTCAGCCTCCTTCTTCGCGCTTGGATAATCTTTGAGCTTCTTCATAAGCCGCCGAGACCGATGATCGTTTTTTTAGATGATCAGGTTCTCATCCGTGATCATCTGTCAAAAGAATATCGATGAGCACTGGCAACGCAAAAGCAGGGATTGAAAAAGACAGAACATCAAGCAAAAGGTAATACCTCCATTACGCTCCCCGAGAACAACTGGTGCGCTTTATTTTTAATCAAGTCGTCTGGTTTCAGAAAGTCGTACTCTGTGCTACACGGGATCATGGAGCATAGCTCGGCGCAGGCCTGCGGAATAGTCGCAATATGATATTTTTGACTTAAAGTTGAACGAAAGATCGTAGGTCGACGGATTCCCTTCGGAACCCATAGCAGCGACCTCTTCAGCCGCGGTCTTCTGCGTCGATTCCACGATGCGCTGCTTCTTTTTCGACCCCTCAATAGCGGACTCCGTAGGCCTCTTCTTCCCGACCTCCTCAGAAACCTTTTTTGCGGTCTCAACAGGAGGGTCTGCCACGCGTTTTCCAGCCTTCTTCGCAGTGAGGGAAGTCTCAATAGCCTTCTTGGTCTACGAAGAGATGCGTTTGGACCCCCTTGAGTGGCAGTAGAAGGTCCGGCTTATTTAGCGGCTGCATCAGTCCCCTTACCCGGAGCAGGACTCTTTTGGGCAAATCGGTGTAGTTGACCCTCTTAAACTTGGCCTTAACCATTCATCCCTCCTTTTTCTGACGGGGTTTCTTTGGTTTGATCGGTGGAAAGGTATATGGTTTAAGTGAAGCGGGCTCAAGGGTATAGCAACCTGTTAAAACAGAAAAAGAAACCTGCCTCAATAAGCAACCCGGTCGAGCCAACAACTAGAAAAATATAAAATCAAATTCCAACCTGTCATAATCTGTTCTTGACACCTTTGAATTCTTTGCTCAAGGAACTTCGGCCAGAGTTGAGGCTTCAGTTTCTTCAGAAGAGGAATCATCGTCTTCTCACCAGGTTTCAGAGCGGTCAGGATCGAGGGGACCGGATAATCTGCGAGCAAAGAGAAAGATTAGGTGTCAGCCTAAACTGGAAAAATTGAAACACATAGAGACGTTAAGCATACTGATTATGATATTCCAGCCGGAACGAATCGGCCACCTCGGGTTCTCGATGGAGACCACATCGATCTTCACGAAGAAGTAGCTGAGCTCCCAGTTATCGCATTTATCACTAATAGAGTCCGGATTCAACCACGAGTACCCATGACGTGCTGATACATAGAAACGACCTGAGGGTTTTCGCCACTTTAATTGGGCCATCGCCTCGAAAGTATCGCAATCGCACTTCATTTCATGCTCAGCGGCTAGAGTCAGGTAGACCACAAAATTTCGGATTGAGGCCCAGGTAAGTTGGGAAACAGCTATACCCCACCGGGCACAATATTCGATCAATATCCGGGGTAGCGGAAACCACAGCCCGCTCGCCATGAAGAACGACTCGTATAAACACAAGTATCCTTCTGGGGGCGTCCAGGGACGATCACTTTCGCCGGGCACCAGGAACTCGATGCTATCCGAAAGACATCGAGTAGATCGCATCGCCTCCAAAGTCGTATGAGTGGATGCCATTTTTTATCGTTAAAACGAACTAACTTTATATACTGACCTAGGCTTGGCCCCGAAGGATCCCGTGTGTTCGGTGTCAAAATCGAAAGACCAAAAGAGTCTTGGTCCTCCTCGCCAGCCGCGATGAGGTCGCTCACGACTGCGCCGAGCTCCTAGGGGAAAGAACGCGCCGAGTTTAGAAGACCCAGCAGCCTTGGAAGTTCCGGTCTCAATGGAGTTCTGATCAAACCGCGGACCCTCAACCGAGCTAGATTCGGCCTCATCCTCTCTTGAGATATGGGCTTTATGAATATAAGCCATGGTGTGAGCCTCCATTAAGGATAGATAGCCAAAAATGGGTGCAGAAGACGAGCTGATTGAATGGTGGTTGAGAGAATCTTCACAGGGAGAATCGATCTGAATCGGAGAGGACATCAATCAAACAAATCAACAGACCTTCGGAAGGACAACCGGGGAACTCAGCTCGGGACGAAGATTTCTTTGAAGACTAATCGAGAAATTCAAGCTAAGACGGCGGACTCAACGGCGATGGGACAACAGAAAAACTATCTAACGAAAACTAGAAAGAGAAGGAGAAGAAAAATACATTTAGAGAGAGAAGCGAAAGGAGCAAAGTGAGGAGAAAAGAGGCGAGACCCTCTTCTTTTTATAGACTGAGACCGGAAGAGAAACCGTTGCACCTCGAGTGGAGCGTTAGGCGGCAAGACAGGCCAATCAGGAGAAGAGTTTGAACTAAGGTTTCATTTGTTCAGGCCTGGAACTCGTAAACAGCGAAGCTCGGCCCATCTCAGTTCGCTGACCGGGGGGACTACTGTTGGGCCTGGACCTGCGGCCCAATTAATTTTACGGCCCGATGGTCTGCGGCCCGTGAACACTGGAAGCCCAACTCAAACAGTAACTGCGGTCTGGTTAAACCTGGGTCAGATTTGGTAACTACAGTTAGTAAAACCTAGGATGTACCCTCAACCTTGTACTATAAATAGAGGTACAATGTGATGTGACGGATCATCTTCCATTTTTTCAAATAGAGTACAAGGGACCAGAAATTTTCCGTTCAGGACTCTAACTCCGAAGAAGTGCTCACCGGGACGTCACCACCGACCGGAAAACACCGAAAACGTTTATAGATATGTACTAGCTCGCAGCGACTTAGTAGCCCGGGATATGTCCGGTCTACTACGCTCTTCCTAGTTCATAGTAATCAGATAGACCGGGATCTGTCTGGACTATCTGTAGTGGTCTACTTTGTAACACTTTCCCAAACTCATCTTCTAATATACGAAACTCTCTGACCTCCTATCGACTACAAATTCATTGTTCAATCTTTTGGTTAAACATGTATGTTTTTCCTTTTCTCGATTCTTCTAATGAATTCGAATCGACGAATGGTTGAGTATTTCCCTTGGTGTTGATGAATTGCTAGGTTTTGATATTGATTGTTGGTTTGCTTGGACAGATTTGAGGTTTGGAGGTTTGCTTGTATAGGATGGATTGGAGGTTTGGAGGTTTGCTTGTATAGGATGGATTGGAAGTTTGCTTGGACAGATTTGTGAGAAGCATGGAATTAAGGGCGGCTTGAGGATCGATCATCCCTCTTGCAAGAAATTCTGAATGTGAAGCCTACACATGTCTTCAATGCTGCTGGTGTGACAGGGAGACCCAATGTTGACTGGTGCGAGTCTCACAAAACAGAGACAATCCGTGCCAATGTAGCAGGCACTTTGACTCTGGCTGATGTCTGCAGAGAGCACAACCTCCTGCTGATGAACTTTGCTACTGGCTGTATATTCGAATATGACGAAAACCATTCGCTAGATTCAGGCATTGGCTTTAAAGAAGAAGATATACCAAACTTTTTGGGATGGTCAGAGAGGACCACCTGGGAAGAAGGGTTGAAGACAATGGAATTCGACACACAGAGCCCTTTTTATGTCCATTACGATTTTTGTTTCTCCACCTAGTGATTTAAGCTAAAAAAATGTTTGAATCCCAATAAAATTTTTTAACGAGGTTGTTAACTAAAGATGATAGAAAATTTATATATTGAAACAATTGTTAAGAACGCATAAGAGTTTCTTCAATGGACATGCTTCCACACTTTATCACGTGGCCCAAGTTTATATAGTCGTGATTTTGCAAAAATA